CTGCTCGTAAACATAATAAACAGACGGCATCATGATACTATGACGCCAGGTGCAGAACGAGGTTCTGCCAAAAGATTCAAAACTCCAACCTATCCAACTGATGTGTCCCTTGACTCTCAAAACACCCATCAATATCAGTCAAAGTACTCAAGTTGACTCAAGTTTGCAGTGTTTTTGGCCAAAATCAACGAATTTTCATAGGTGTTTACTGAGCGTCCAAGGTTCAGATATTCAAACCACCACATCCGTTACGGAGGGACCATTGATGTATTTCACATTCAGCAGATCGATCTTCCCGTTGAACCTCGGACCCAATTGAGTCTCATCCCGGGCCCACGGAGCCATATAAATTACCCTCTGGTTATGTCAAAATAGCTATTGAAAATGGCCATTTATAGTGGATTTACCCATCAAAAATGGTGATTTTCCATAGCTATGTTGGTTTACCAGAGGGTATCTACCAAAAAGAATAGATAGTCCTTAAAGTATATTTGGGATCATACCTGAGATACTGTGGGAATATAATTTTTGATATAATGATATAATGTGATTTAAATTGTGATGAATGAGAACTTCGAAAATTAACCACGTGATTGCAATCCCTAAAAATTATGATGTTCCCCATAATGTCGCAAATTAACCTCCCAAAACAAACAATCACTGCCATCACAGAGAATACTCTGTAAACACAAAAAAAACGGACCAAAAAAAGAAAATATTGCAATAGCCTAGCCCCCCAAATATGTAAATACATACATAACATATATATATATATATACGTAGATTCCATTGAAATTCCCCAAGTGATTGCAACAGCACAAACTAATAAAAATTACATGGTTGGCTAGTCTTTACAATTTTACAAAATTGGAATCACATGAATGTGAATCACAAAAAAAATTGGGTATAAAAATTCTTCCCAAAAATTACCGAAGACAACCTGGTGGCTACAAGGCCAATGAACTTCCCGACCTGGGAAACTGCCCTCAATATATTCCCTTAAAAATACCCAACAAAAATACCCACAAAATCAGTAGATAAAATTCAAATACGTAAGACAAGATAACGGGTATTTTGTCAGAACTAGCCATGATGGGTATCTTCCAGCCATTTGTTGATGATGACTTAGCCATAAAATACCGACATAAAATACAGCCTCCAGTGTCATCAAGCCATGGCTGGAAAAAGTCCACGGATCTTCCACCAACTTCCAACGACCATCTGGGATAAAACGAGACAGAAAAAAGTTCTCAAAATCTAGAACCATGGTCATCAAAAACGATGATTTTGCCAGCTAAAAACAACCGTTTTCGGAAAAATGTCCTCAACATCCGGAAACAAGAAAAAAGATAGTCCAACCCTGTAAACAAAATGCGATTCATGGGGAATCGATTATCGTTTTGATACAAAAATAACCTATAACTATAGTTAATCCCTAAAACAATCCAAAAAACAAAAAATTGGTCCCTTCATCGATTCCCCGTTTCTGGCGGATTTTTCAAATGTTTTCAAACATGGCAACAGAAACCATCGACCATTAAATTGCCATTGCAGTTTCTGAAACAATCGCCATGTACCAGTGGAAATTGAATCAGCATATTGAACCACCCATTTTCAAGAAATGTACCAGTTAGATATGGCATAAATAAGCAGTTATCACCATTAAATCGCTATGTCTTGCCGTCTTGCTGGTTATTTTTTGCAATCCTTGTACCCATCAACTATAGTTATAAGTTGGTCTAAAACTGTCGTTTTCCCATTAAAAAAACTCCTCAACATCAAAAAAAATAAGGATTGTTCTGGTTATGGGATATTCCCTTAATTAATGGGATATTCCCATAGTGAATAATGTTATCCTCGTTATATTCCCTTAATCGATTCTCCAGTTCTGGTGGATTTCAGTTCAACACCCCCAGTTCTTCAGTTTCCCATGAAAAATCACCGACCAAAAAGAACCCAACTTTCGTATACGATGCATGTTATTATAATATATTATAAGTTAAACAAACCCAAACACGTAGTTACTATAATTATTCTTAAGTTGAAGAAACCCATAACTCAACCATAGGTATATAATTATATAACCATTTATACAAATTTATATAACCATCATATAATTTTATTAAACTCACCTTATTGTCCAACAACCCCCAGTTCCCTGGCGTCGTCGTCACCGCGTCACTTGAAGGGCGCCCGGTCAGCGTAGTTCAACGACACGGGGGCGCCCAGGTCCATCCCCACGTCGAAGGTCTCCGAGGCGTCGAAGACTAAGCGGATGGATTTCTCCACCTGCCATGGCGAGTTCCCCGGGGCTCGAAACGGGGCTGTGAAACTCCGAAAATGGTGAGTTTGTGGTGGTTGAACTAGGCATTTTAGGATGTTTCATGGTGATTTTATGGTGATTTTATGGGGATTCTAAGGAGTTGATCCGAAGAGGTGGTTCTAAGGGTCAAACATCACTTTGTGAAACTGGTGCTTAAATTTCACCAGCAAACATCATGGTGATTTAATGGGATTAATGGCATTTAATTGAAATTAAGTATGGAAAATGATGAGTCAATCGATGAAAAATGATGAGTTGAATGAGATTTAACTAAGAAATAACTCAGTTTGAAATTATAAAAAAATACGCCACAGAATGCAGGCCATTATGATCTATAGGTGATGTTGTTTGGCTGAATAATATCATTAAATCCCCCATATCGTTCATGAAATCGCATTTTTCATCACCATGATATTATTAGATAAGTGAGTATTTCTGAACCATGGGAACTTGTAAATGTACAAATCCCCTTATTTTTGGTTTCCAAATTTCTCCATAAATTACCTTTGTTGGTTGGTGGTTTCAACCCCTCTGAAAAATGATGGAGTTCGTCAGTTGGGATGATGACATTCCCAATATGATGGGAAAAATCATCCATTCATGTTCCAAACCACCAAGCAGATCATTATTAACCATTATTCGTACTTCATTTTGACAGCCATCATAATCATCCACTAATGATCATTAATGGTGCGTATAAAATCCACCCATTTCTCGTTGAAGTCAGATTTGTTGGTTTGTTGCACCGCTTGGTTCTCGTGAAATCCCTTGAACGGTGCCTTGACCCATCCCACATTGGCTCCGTCCACGAAGAGGGTCAAATCGGCCGGTGGGTAGAGCCTTGGGTCTCTGGCTCTCCAAAAACCATCGGAAAATGGATTGGTTTAAGGGAAAATCTAGAGGAAATCATCGATTTTCCCATGAAGATCATGGGATTTTCCTGTAAATTTCCCCTTAAACCAATCCATTGAATAGGAAAATGCCAATCTATGAGTTACTATTCAACCAAGGTTGTATAGATTTCATGGGATTTATAGTTTTCATGATAGCTAAGTTTGTTTATAATTTGGTGAACTAGGTTTTTTTAATCAGGATATAACAAACTAGTTAGCGGGGGTTGTAAACCAACGTTCACATAACTGGCTGGGCCTCACCGTGAGTATAGTATAGTCATACTGGAGCAGATAGAATACAGATTGTTTTAAAAAAGAACAGCAGTAGTATGGGGAATATGCTTGAAAAAAAAAACATATTCTATCCACTTCAGGATTATTTAAATATATATATATATATGTGTATACCCTCTGGTTATTTAACGTAGCGAACTGGAGAATCACCATGCTATTAATAGGTAAATCATCAAAAAACATCGATATTTCTATGGCCTATGTAACTTAAATTAATATGTTTTTTGATGGTTTTTTGGTATCATAGAAATATATTAAATCACATGGCTTTTTTTTAACCAAGGGTATCATCAAAACCATGGCATGTTGAACAGGTGAATCCCTGACATTGACATTACAAAATCATGGCGAATTCACTTAGTATATTTGGCGAATGGTATGACTATAGACCATTCTAGGAATGTATATGTGTATTCTTTACAATATATATATATATATACACATATTAGATATGTATATATATATGACAGTGTGTATATATATATACACATATATATATCATGGGTGTCGTCTATAAATATTTTAAGTGCAATCTGGTGCAACCATCTGGTATATGCTTATATAACTGTATAAACATGTTTGAAACTGGGTGAAGCATTGTGATGGGCTGCATCCCGGTGTCTCTTGGTTAGCTGTGCTTGGGAACCATTACATAATATCTGTGTATATGATTAGCCTGTGAGATTCAAGTTAAACCGCTAGCACAAACTGTACATACAAACGGTGCCTTCTCGGTAAGTGGCTTAGTTCACCCTGTGGAGTAACCCTTCTGTGGAGTAAACTAACAGTTTGCGAACTGGAAAATGATCCTTTTAGTTCGATGATTTACCGAAAATGGTGATTTTCTATAGCAAACTGTTAGTTTACCAGCCAATAAAATAACTAATACACTAACTATAGAATAGAAATACCACTGTACCTAAAATATATATATATGGATGTACCATTTGGTTATTTAACAGTTCGCCATGGAAAGATCCACCCATTTTTCAGTTCGGTAAACCATCTATTTCGATTAGGGCCATCTATACCATGGCTATGTTAAATAACCAGATGGTAAATGATCTGAGTTTTGCAGATAGTTTATAACCCCAGCTAAGTATAGACATTCCCAGATGTATATGGATGTCTATGGTGATTTTCTGTCGAAAATGGGGTGAACTAACCCACTAACCAAGGGCCGCGACCCAAGAAGAGCACTGCTGTCAACTCTCTGCGGCTGGGAAAATCTGTTGGGGTTGGAAACATGTAACAAGTTCACCATGCTGAGTTCACCTCCATAAGTTGGTCTTTATAGATATAACACTAGAATCCATATATAACATAAATTGGGAGCTATTAGGAGTTATTTAGAATCCATATATATATATCACCACTACATATGTATATATATATATATGGGTAAATTATAATATTTCACTAACCTGAATCTTGCGGCCATTTGGGGATGATTTTCCTTATTAACCGTGATTCCAGTGAGGGAGAACTGTGAGGTCGCAGTGAGGTTGCAGCGAGGTCGTTATGATTTACCCAGATATATGTATATATAAGCCTGCTGGTTGGTGGTATACCTACCCCTCTGAAAAATCATGGAGTTCCTCAGTTGGGATGATGACATTCCCAATATGATGGGAAAAATAATCCAAATGTTCCAAACCACCAACCAGATCGTAAACTAACATAGCTATGGAAAATCACCATCTTGAATGGGTAAATCCACTATAAATGGTCCATGTTCAATAGCTATGTTAAATATTTAAATGTCGTTACCGTATATATAACCCTAACTTTACTGAAATCTCTGCGCTTAGTTCACGGGAACTGCATCCCCGAGGTCCGTTCGGTTAACCAAAATCGATCCAAAAAACCTTTGCAGCTATTGGATCTTCCCATGAGTCATGGAGGTGTCCGAAATTTTCATCGAAAATATGGGATTCCCCCAGTCATCCAGCCATTAGATTGGGATTTTCCCATGGAAATAATCACCATCCAGCGATAGATGGGTACCCTCTGGTAAACTAACATAGCTATGGAAAACACCTATTTTTTTATGGGTAAATCCACTATAAATGGCCATTTTCAATAGTTATGTTAGTTTACCAGCAAGTAATCCCATGATGGAAACCCATGACGTATCCCCATGGCGAAACCAAGATACGACTCGCTTTTGGGATAGATCAACCGCACCTGGCGTTGCCGGAGCAACGCCACGGGCGAGTTGCTGAAGAGCAAACGAACCAGGTTTGAGAAAATGGTGACTGAAACAAACAAAATCAGGCTATAAGGCAAGAAAATGTTGATTCTAAGTGAATCAACAACTTAATCGAACTTTAAAAAATGTGGATTGAGCCAAGAGGCCGGTGTTTTACTCATCAAAACTCTGGAGTTGGCCATCAAACATAGGGCTGCCTAATCAAAAATGGGATAGGTCACAACCGGATTCTCCAGAGGTTGGGTCGTCCAAGTTGCAGGCTGATACCCTCTGGTAATTTAACGTAGCTATTGAAAATGGCCCATTTATAGTGAGTTTTCCCATTAATAGCATGGTGATTTTCCATAGTTATGTAAACGTTTACCAGAGGGTACCTTCTCCCCATCAGATTTTGAAGCTCTTCTCAAAGAGAACTGAAATCTACCTCCCTTCATCAAAAAGTGGCAATGAAACCTCCAGAAAACCTCCATTTACGAGGCAATTTCCCATGGGCACGTTTACCGCAGGGTATCCCCTGCCTCATTAGATCTGGAAATCTAAGATTGATACCCAAGCCCTTTATGGAGCCCAGCTTCGGAAGCAAGTCAGAAATGAATCAGCCAGGAGTTAAACATGGAATGCTGTACCACTGCTGGCTTCACTTATTCTCCACACTCATAACCGTAGCTAGTCATGTGGCAAACCCTACAATAAACCATCCTACTATTACATGGGTGTTTGTACGACCCATCCCAAATGGTAGGTATTTATGACATTGGGTGAATGCCACATTAGGTGCTAAGGGATCAAAAGTGATACCCTCCATTAATTCAACAGTTTGCGAACTGGAAACTAACCCATTTGATGAATCCTGTCCCCCATGAAAAAGCCTGAAACATAGTGATTTTTCTAAGGATTCATGAACCATAAATGATACCCTCTGGTAAACGTTTACAAAAAACTATGGAACATCACCATTTTTAATGGGTAAATCCACTATTTCAATGGCAATTTTCAATAGCTATGTTAAATTACCAGAGGGTACCATCAAAATTAAATATGGACCACCCTACACAAAGCCATCTTTTTTTTCCTTGGAACAGCACAAAAATGTTCCGCCATCTCGGAGACCTGGATCTTGTGTTTTCCGGCGGCCACTGGCTGGGAGGACTTGGCAATGTAGCGGTACCTAGGAGCGACAGCGACACTGGGGCAATTTTGAGGTTTTTAGCCGAGAAAAATGGGATTGAGACATCAAAAACATCAACAATCGTGTGTGTTTGAAGCCACAAAGATAGATTCCAAGAACATCTTGGAGTCTACTCAGTTCACTCAAAAATCATCAGAAAATATGGGTGTTTTTTGGGGCTCATTTCAGTTCCCAAGTTCCCAAGTTGGTGTCCTTTTGCCAAAGCACAACAGCGTGGCCATATACTCGGCATAGAGATAGCCCTTGTCGAAATAAACCGAGAAACCTGCCGGGTCCTATGGTCCCATGGCCCCCATGGCTCACAGAAAAAAATCACCAAGTTTCTTGGTCAAATCCCGTTGAATCAAAATTCTTGTTGGGTAAATCCCATTGAATAACAATTGTTTAGTTCTTTTAAATCTCCTTAAATCATCACTTTTTGTTGGTTAAATCCTGTTAAATCCCAAGAAAATGCCTGCAGCTGTCCCGCCCACGCAGAAGACCACACCGCTGGCGAGCTCGGGTAAGTCCACATCAATGGTGGATAGGGAACTCCTTGGGTCAATGAAGGAGACTGAGGCTTCAAACAACTGTGATTTGGAAGGGTTTTTACCTACAAAAAATGTGATTTAATGGGATTTAACCAACAAAAACGATGATTTCATGGAATTTAACCAACAAAATTGGTGATTTAATGGGATTTAACCAACAAAAACGATGATTTCATGGAATTTAACCAACAAAATTGGTGATTTATTGGTGTTTGAGGATTCGATAGGGTCACCCTGAACAAGCCCAAATTTTGGGGAGCCAGGTCACCGGTTAGGGCCCATTGGTTTGGGAAGCTTAGAAGCACCTATATTGTGTATGTGTGTATTTTATATATATATATATATTATTATGTATATATATATATATATACGTACTGACATATACTTGGTGAATCTTGGGGATACAACTACGGTACGAGCCTCACCCCGTGGGATCTGGGGCCCCAAGTGGGTTATTTTGGAACTGCACCTCGGGGGTTTCCATAGTCATGGTGCCCAATAGCTGGATGGTGACTATTTCCATGGGAAAATCCCAATCTAATAGCTGGATGATTTTTGTTCGTGTACCCCATGACTTAGGAAACCTCCAAATCGGGATTTTGACCATAGAGATTCTGTTGGTCCCAAAAAAGCTCCAGGTGTCGATGCAAAAGTTGGTCAAATCTGATTCCTGGCGATAAATTGAACCTTTTCTATATCTGTTTGGGGGTTACTATAGTCAATATCTGCTTCCAACATTTCTGAAAAAAACTGGATGGTTTACTCCAGCCAATGACCACATGTGATTCCCAAAAAACTGAATGTTTTGCTCAAAAAAATGGCCGGTCCATCTGTGGTTTTGCGAGTGTTAAATCATCGTCCATTCAAATTCCCATGGTGGATCATCCCTACCCGCTGCAAAACAAGCACAGATTTTGGCAGGATAGTGTACCTTTCTTGGTAAAATTAGGTCAACTATCACCTCATGAAAACCTATCATTTTTGCCTTTTGCACAATCGGTTGTGTCATCCAATTGGCTTGATTAACAGTCGATGAGGGAGGTCCAAAAGAGCGCATTCCCAAAAAAAACAAATGGCTTGCAAAACTCAAAGGGTCTCATTTCGGATGGGGGTGCCCCCTATGCTAAGAAAAGCTAAAAACTTCATCAACTGATGGCTCTATTCATCGGTGGATCTTCTCAGCTCGGTACCCAGCTTCTGCCTGCTGTGAAAGCCAGGTGCATTGGATTCCGCGATTCCTAAGGCCGACGAAGCGAAGGCTTCAAATCCAAACATCCGAGGTGAAAGGCGATGTGTGGTGGGAAGTGGTTGGGAATGTGTATATATATATATATACATTATCTATACATTATAATGATATTGATATATATATATATACGGTTACCGTATTTATTTCATAAGTGTGTATCATGTAATCGTGAGCCATCAGACACGGCAAATCCGTTGCGGGAAACCAGGTTGGAAGACCGCAAAATTTACCATGGGTTTTTAATGGGAAAAAACACCAAGAAAAATGGTGATTTACTGGGATTTAATGGCTTTATACTTGGGAAAAACATCAAAAACATGGAGGAAAATGGTGGCTTTTCCAGCGAAAAAGCCATGTTTGATGACACCCGGAATCCGCATCTCTACTGTTGGACCATCTATGGGGTGTTACTGGGATGGGATGACTCAGCAGAAATGGCAACAACCTACCCTCATTCATGGCTACAATTCATGTCGGCAAAAGAACTCATAAATGGTTGGGGTTGGCGAATCTTTCCCACACAAGTGCCTAGTTTACTATGGCTGAGAATTGATTTTGTTTAACCCCAAAAAAAAACGGCAATTCCCAAGTCATTTCCGACCACTTCACTTGAATCCTTCAAGCGTCGTGTCATGCCCTCATGGAGGTTCCACTCAGTCAAAGGTGAGTGTGGACCTTCCTCCGGATGGTAGTAGATGGTGTATAAGCCAGCACCAATGGGCATCACCTGGAGCACTGAAGATTTGAGACTTGGATCAATGGGAATGAAACTGGATCCTAAAATGGAGGTACCTAGCATATATAAGGCCTATTTTTTAGGCCTATGTAAGTGAATATCACCACAAAATATGGTCAAAAATATGGTACTAACGTACCTCCATTTTAGGAAATTGATTGGAAACTGGTCTTGGAAATGTCCAGATATTTGCGTGAAGCTCTTCAAAAGTTGCTGCCACTTGGGATGAAAAAAATGAGAGAATCCAAGCTGGTCCTGTTATTCCCACGAATCGTACCTGCTTACAGGATGGTGCCCCCCAGTGATGTTTGTTGGTTTATAAACCCCATAAACTATAGTTACAAGTATCACAAGCCGTAGTTATTGGAATTATGTTCACCAACCTAGCTATCCATACTGAGTTTATTTTATAAACCCTCCATAGTATGGATAGCTATATTTTTTTGGGATAGTACTTAGCTATCCTTGGCGTATTTTATCCCATAAATGGCGCCCAAATAGTTTAGCAGTGGCTATTAAAAAGCCATGGGATAAACCACGAGTCTCGCAGACTTCCTTTCCGTGGGACGATACAGTTTATTTCTACATGTTTTTGGGGCCCCCCCAGTGATGGGAACGGTGGTTTATAAACACCAGGAATAGTATAGTTATAAGTCATAAGTATCATAAACCATAGTGAAATTGGAGTTATTTGCATCAACTGGATCCAATTGATGAAGGTACTAACTTAGTACCATATTTTTGACCATATTTTGTGATGGTAGGTACCTCCAATCAATCGGTTCCTGAAATGGCCATTGCCAACAGTAAGTAAGTATAGTTATAAGTACCAGAAACATCCATAAACCATTGTTATTGGAGTTTAAAACTGACTTAGCTATCGTCAACGGGGGCCCCACGTTGTAGATGAATTGTGACATGCTTCAGATTTTTCTCAATTTCAATTCATTGAACTCAGTACTTGGCGGTGAAGCAGCCAGAACTCCTGGAATCGTGGGTTAGTTCATCCGAACTAACGATGCATTGCCCCCATTTACCCTATCTATAAATAGGATGAACCCCCCTACGACTCCTGGGGTGAACCACCAGAATTCAAATCGCTGATCTGTGGGCTCAAAACCCGAGAACCAGAGCGGTCAAGACTTTGATGTCTGAGACTAAACCATTCAAGAGACAACTTTCAAACAAAATGTGCAGCATAGTTAACACAGCTCAATCGTAAACCTTCTACATGTCTTTAGCATTCTTGACTGCTAAAATGATAAACCTTGGATCGGTTGGAAAGTAAATCCCAAAAATGGTAGACAAGTAATTTACTGTGCCACTATTTTAGTGTAGGATTTTACTTTCATAGGTCCTAAATAATTGTTGGGGAAATTCTACACGGTTCCATTTAAGTCTTGAGAACCATGTTTGTTCCATGAAAAAGCCTCCATGGCTAGGCCACGGGGATTTCCCAGCCATGGCCATGATGACCCGGAGTGTAAACTATCTAAATTCCATGAGATGCCCGGCCCTTGGTCATCTAAATCTCATTGATTCATCTAGAAAATCACCATTTCTGTTGGTTAAATCCATGCATTCCCGTGTGGATTTCTCCAACATCGCAACACATCTTTGAGGCTCGCAGTGCACCTTGTTTTGAGTTGCTTCCATCGTGAAGATCTCCTTCGTCTCTGGTGGAGTTCGAAGTTGGTGAGTTGGATTTCGTCATGAACGATGAAAGTCGGGAAAGAAACATGAAAATGAAATATCAAGTCTTCCAGTTCTCAAGTTACTCAAAAGCCAAAATTTTGGAATCAAACATATCTCCCTTATTCTCCCTTTGTATCAGTCAAGTTCGAAAAAGGGCCGCTTCCAATGTGTGGCATTTGGGGTGCCCAGGTGGGCTGTACTTGAGGTGAACTCCCCACAATTTTCTTCCTGGTGTGACCAAAATGGTTAAAAAAACCGATTTCCTCAGTTTTCCCATCATTTGGGGATGGGTCAAAACCCTATCCCTGGTGAACATCAAAATAGCTGGTAAATGGATGTTCATCCCCCTAAAAATGGTATGTATAGGTATTGATCCATAGCCATTTCTGGCAAAGTGTTGATTTGTTTTTCCCAGTCATAGTTGATGCTGGCTATATCTTGGCAATGCCCAAAAGCTCTGGCAGGGATCATGATAAACTGCATCATTTCGGGGTTCCAAATTTTGAGACCCCCATTTTATGCTGGTGCCGTGAAATCTTTGCAAAATCTGCGATGGAAATCGCTTCATATCTGATCCCTTCTCCCTACAATGTGGGGCCCCCCCAGTGATGTTAGTTGGTTTATAAACCCCTGTAAGTATAGTTATTTGCGTACCATATACCATAGTGAAATTGGAGTTATGTGGCCCCCAACTTAGCGTTTTCGTCAACGGGGGGCCCGACTTTGTAATATATGGGATGTCATCCTTCCCATTAATCAATATTGACTATAGATGATTAATCGTTATTAACCATTGTTAACCATTATTAATAACCATTATTAATCATTATTAACCAATATTAACCAATATTAACCATGAATAACCAATCCTAAACGAAACCCATGGTTTTCTCTTGGGAATTTCCGCATTCCGTTGGGAACGGTGGTTGCCTTCATCTTGGCGACCTTCTCAGGCATCTGAGATGCCAAGTCCTGACCGAAAATGGCACCCTCTAAACATACCAAAAAGCTATTGAAAATGGCAATTTATCGTTGAAGTACTCATTGTTTCCCATAAAAAATGTCGTGATTTTCCATAGTTATGTGAACGTTTACCGGAGGGTAGATCTTGGTTTTTGTTGGCTTTCATGGCAAAATTAGGGGATTTACCCTCTGGTAATTTGTTACATAGCTATGGGAAATAACCGTTTGTAGTTGAATTACCCATTGAAAAAGATGAATTTCCATAGTGGTCTGCCAGAGGGTAATATTGTGTATTACCAATGTAATAGTAATATGATATCCAATGGTAATGTCCACAATATTATACTATTGGAATACCATTTATACTATGGACTCTATTGGATAATACTGTGTATTGCCATTGTGCATTACCATTGCGTAATTATACTCAAGTCCATAGTATATACATACTCAATACCACAATATGATGGTAATACCACGGACTATACTACGGACAACAGTGTGTATATACAGATATCTAGTTATATAGGAAATTACTGTTTTTTTTTAGGACTTTTCTTGACTTGGCTATATCATAGTTTGTTTAGATATGTTATATATGAATTGATGTCGGTAACTACTATTGGACCAGCAATAAATGTAATATTGGATAAGTAATGTAATGACAATTGGATGACTATTGCTATAACTAGTGGTAAATGTGATGCAATTGTAAATCGTACGATATCCTCTATGGATATGTAATTACTACTGGATATACAAATCCATTTAATTGGATATTTAATAATATTCGACTGTATATATATATGAATATAGGTAGCGTCCATATCTTATAATATAGAATAAAAATGATAGAATGTATGTACCTAGTATCATATCATGTATATATATACGATCTAGTAATTCATACCCTTGTTTCATATTTGATATATGCATACATATATATATACATACAAGTATAACCATAGGTATGTTCCATATGTTCCACGTGTTAGTATTGTACTGGAAATACTGTAACCGAATATTTATCTTATGAATATCCAATTTGATATGGCCATGTATATATTTGAGCACTTGAGTGTCGTAAATATCCGTGTAATATTTATAGATATATGATATGATATGATATGATATGATATATGATATATGATATGATATATGATATGATATGATATGATATGATATGATATGATATGATACATATATATATATACGTATATATATCCTGGAGTGGATTGAGTATGGAAATGTCCAAAAAAAACTCACTAAAATGGGAATAACTAAAATGGGAATATCATTGAAATTCCCATATTCTATCTACTTGGTGATGACCATGTATTGATAGATTGATAAAAATTGGGGAAGTCGGTTGGCCTACTGATGATTGGGGTCAGAATAATAGCAATAACTATAATTATCAAAAAAAACAATTACAAGAATGATGAGATTATACAGTGGGTCTGTCTGGAATTGTTGTGGGAACTATTTGTTTTTCCATTTTGGGAATTCAACAAAAATCATTCCCAAAAAAATCCTAGCCCTCCTTATTATATAATAGTGCATATACAGTCAATCCCATCCCCGTGTGTCAAGCTAAACCAGGACTGGAGAACTGTTTGTGAACACGTGGAACTGATTTGTTATATCGTTAACTCGTTGTCACATTTTTGGGGGTAAAGATGTTGGTTGTCACCTCAATATTTCGTAACTGTGCGGTTCAATCGTTAAAGCTTCCAGGTTTTTTTCACCTTGACCCGTATCCAACTCTGAATCTCAGTTCATCTCTGGTAATCAAACATGGCAATGAAGATCCACCAAATCTATAGATTATTCTCCCAAGAAAATCTCCACTGATTAAGTATCAGGGATTTCTTATGGTTTTCCTATGGTTTTCCTGTGGTTTTCCTACGGTTTTCCTATGCCCCAAGGAATTCAGCCATGTTTGATGACCACAACACTCCACGACCTTGGCTTGAGAGAAGTCTTTGCTCAGATCATAGAGTTCCCAAACCTGGGCTGGGTCTATAGCAACCCTCAAAAGAGAGAAAAATATGGATTTATGACTACTAAAAAGTAGGAGTTCACATCACTCTATCCTCTTTTCGGGGTTTGAATAAATAAAGAAATCAATAAATAAATAAATAAATAAATATATATATATATACATATTATATATACATAGGATACCACTAACGCTGCCTGGGTCCCACACTGTGGGGACCCCAAGATAGCTAAGTCAATTTATAACTATAACAACTAGGATTTATAGCCAATTTAATTATCGGGAATATATCTCGTAAACTAAGAGTTTGCTACAAAAAAAAAAACACCATCAATAAAAGTGATAGGCAAACAATATAACCTATTTCCATGGTTCATGTTCAATAGCTACGTCCTGTTCGTTTACTGGAGGGTTGCTAAACCATGATCTGTTATATGGGTTGGTCAAATGGCCATAAATTGGTTGATCGGTTCATCCCCCATTTTCCAGGTTGGTCATGGTCATTCTCTCCCGATTGAATCACCACATTTCTTGGTTAAATCCCACTCCAATCCCATGAATTCCAGCATTGTGAGCGGTTTATAACTGGCTTGGTCCTCTTCGCCGGCTGGCTATCACTGGCTATCGGCCCAGTGACGTCTGTGTCGGGGTTCCACTCCTTCATGCGTGTCTCGTTGGTGGCTGCCCATGGAATACCTAGGAGCGTCGCTACGCCCGAGGTGAAAAGGGGGTGAGTCTCTGGTATCAACAATATCTGAGTGCATAAGAATATATGTTAGTCAAGTCTGATACATATACATACATATATATATATGTATATGCTATCTATATATAGTGACATATAATGTGTTAATGGCCAGGTATTTTTTTTGCATCTGTCAGTCCGGCCAAAGTGAGGACCTAATCCAAGTAATCTAAGTTTCCAGCTGTGGGAATGGGGTCATTTTTCAAAGGTGACGCAGTCTGATTTTCCCTTGCCACCTTTAATTCCTATGTCAGTATGGCGACTGGTACTGCACTGCTACTGCACTGGTGGTGCGACTCGTACCAGACGCCATCATCAATCCTTATTGGGGCTACAGTATCCCGTCCCCAATAAAAAACTGTAACCCTTGATAATCCTATGGAATCCATGGTTCTTTGGTAGCACCAAAATGGCTAAAAATTGACCAAAACCCAACGGCTTCTGACAATGAAAAGGGCCCTACGAAGTTGGGGCAAAACTGAGCCCTGGACCTGCTACCTGCACATCTACGAGGCTTGGTTATTGTTATAAAATCAAATGATGGCACACATATTGGCAACAAATGTATCTATATATATATATATGTGTATATCATATCATATCAAATCATATCATATCATATCATATCATAGTATATCGTAAATTGTGTATATGGTGTATGTGGTGAATAGTGTATAGTATATGGTGTCTTGTGTATAGTATATTATATGGTGTGTTGTGTAGAACATATGCTGTATTGTGTACAGTATACGGTGTATATGAATATATATATATATGCCGTATAATATAGTAATTGTATGGTATGGTTTAGTTAGCATGTTGTATTACATTTCATATCATATCCATTGAATTACACTATACTTAGGAAAATGTTGGGCCTGCAAACAATGGAAAATCAAAAATAAGAAAAGGTTGTCATTTTGTTGTCATTTTTTGGCATTCAAGTTTGTTTTTCATTCTATTGTCATCTTGTTGTCATTTCTTTGTCATTTCCTTGTCATTTTGTTGTCATTTATTGTGGTTCCTGGTTGGGAAAATGCAAAAAAAAAACTATAAAAATGACTCCCAATTTGGGAAATGCAAAAAACAGTGCCATCAAGCACATTCAGTTGATTTTATGGCCACTTTACATGTAATGCTTTGACCGCACTTGAAGTACAATGTCTCTGTGAAGATCACGAATGAAACCGTGGCTTGACACTCGTCAACCTATCACGAGTGACTGCCCGACGGCGGTGAAGCAAACGCATTGCCCGCACGGCGTTTTTAGGCGTGCGGTGAGATTTTTGTTGCTATAACCATTAAAAAGGGTTGATTCTTGCTCGTAATATATCAAATTGCACCAAAAACATGCTATATCACATTATCTCCCATAAAATGTCATGAGATTTTGCTGCTTCAGGTTGCAAAACGTTGGCAAATCCCACAGAAAATCACCCAACTCACCATGTCTCACCCCTTTTTTCTCCAAGCGACGTGGGCCTAGGACGCTTGCGAACCAGCCATCTTTGTAGATGCCGCGACTGCCCATGACTTCGAAGTACTGCGCACTTTTACGGTCCTGGGCAGCCAGGCTCACGTGGCCGGAATTGTTGGCCATCGATTGGATAAAAAGATGAAGATGATGATTGTGCCTTGTTAGAAAAAAAACTCTAGTTAGCGAAAATAATGGGTATGACATTATTAGATATTTGTATGCAAAAAATCTGAGAGCCGCTTTTTAATGTGGCCATCGATGAGTGTTTTTGAGCCCTGTCTAAGGGCTCATAAAACGAAACTCATGTGACTTTTCGCCAGTTAAATCGCACCCCCTTCTTGAAGCTTTCGGCAGACGGCCTCAGCAGTGGCGTTGTTCCAAGTGTACCTCAGGCTGGAAGATCAACGAATGAAGGCCTCGAAAAAATGTGAGAAAAATTGGACCATGAATGACTGGTGGTTGAGCCCTACCCCTCTGAAAAATCATGGAGTTCGTCAATGGGGTTGGGATGACAGCCCATATATATGAAATGGAAAATAATTGATTGATGTCTTGATCTTTGAAACCAACCAGATGGTCCCTTGATTCGGACACTCATGGGCTATTTTAATCAATTTTACCCTCTGGTTATGTCAAAATAGCTATTGAAAATGGCCATTTATAGTGAGATTTCCCATGAAAAATGGTGATTTTCCATAGTTTTTTGTATATTTACCAGAGGGTAATTGGATGATCAACCATGATCAACCATGATTTTTTTTCATCGGGTTTCCACTCAGATTTCCGACGCATGATGGGTCATTGAAAAGACCCATGCAACCATGGTACAATGTGGGCCCCCCCAGTGATGTTTGTTGGTTTATAAACCCCATGAATACTATAGTTATAAGTACCATAAATCATAGTTATTGGAGTTATGTTCACCAACTTAGCTATCTTGGGGGCCCCACATTGTAGATAAATCAGCTTTTTTTCAAAGTTTCTAACATCTTCTAGCCCCAACTCAGAAGAATCTGATGGCAAAAAATATCTCACCACCCTGAATTTTCGTTGATATCTCCAACAGCTCCAACCAGCTCTTGAAATAAATCTGGGGATGGGTCAAAACCCTGGTACCGTGCCGTGAACCCCAAAATAGCTGGGATTTATGGATGTGAATAACCCACTAAAAATGTATCTATAGGTATTGACCCATACCCATCTAGATTTTTTAACCTAGTCGAAACATTTAAAGCTTTCTCCACAGCAAAATTTCAGCCAATTGTCATCCGACGAAAAAAATCTCCAGCTACATCGCCGGCCCGGGCCTTCAGAGACTACACAATAGATTCCAGATGATCCCAGTTTCTTCTTACCCGACTCAACTTCAAACATATGCATATAATTATGTGTATATATATATGATATTATATGATCATATATAGATTTATATATATATGTCTATATGTCCACATGTTTCATCATGTTTCAGCTTTCGCCAAGTCACACCATGGACACCCCATCCAAGGGCATCTGCTGCACCCCCTCCACGTGCTGTGGGAACTTGATCCCAATGGCCTCATAGACCGTGGGCGCCACATCAATGACGTGGTGGAACTGCGACCGTGGCGTCGGGTCGTGTTTGATGACCTGCGGAGATGGCCACGGGGAAGTGGGGAACTCTGACGAGACCTGGGGAACTCGGAGAATGATCGGATTCCGAAGGGGGATGAGTCGGGTGAGTCTGGAAGTTGGAAAATCTGGGAAAATCTGCAATTTTTTTGTCTTTTCATGAGTCCAATATAATCTGGTTGGTGGTTGAGCCACCCCTCTGAATAATATGAAAGTCAGTTGGGATGATGACATTCCCAATGTATGAAAAAAAAAAATGTTCCAAACCACCAACCAGATTAATACATGTTCAATATGGATGGATGTTGCTCCACCTAAACATGGTGTTTTTATAGGATTTAATAGCTACCAACCAGTAATCATTAATCCGATCCCAAGTTTGTAACTTCGCCCTGAACTTCCATCTCCGGAAATCCACTGTCAATTCAGAGCTGCCCCACCTTTGGCCAGGACATGACCATGGGCGTGCGTGTGCCACCAAAGTGGGCCGCAACCAACTTAGTGCCTTGGCCAAGGGGATGCCAAGGGGGGAAGTTGCTGGAAATCTGATGGAAAGCTGGACAAATGATCCAAAAAAGAATTCAGATGTTGAAGCAAAATGGTGGATGAATGTATTCATAAAAAGATGACAATTGAAAAACACAAAATGTCAACATCAAATCCCCTGAAATCCCCTTTGTTGATGGTTAAAATCCAAGAAAAACCTATCATTGATAGATAAATCCCATGAAATCCTATAAATCTAAAAAAAAACTGAATCAGAAATAATCAGAACTTCATTTTATATGCCCTGCATCTTTCTCCAAGGTGCTCTTGAAAGGTGAGTCCAAAGCCCAAGCCCAGCTGCTGTGGTACATGTTATCCTCGGTCGGCTTGGAGGATCATATGTCACCCATTTATAAATGGGATAATTACCCCACAAATCGGGGACTAACTCATGCAAGGTGGTGCCCCCTAGATAGCTAAGTTGGTTTATAACTCCAATAACTATGGTTTATAGGTGATATATCTATAGTTAATGGGATTATAAACCAACTTATAACTTGGGGGGCACCACCTTGTGGCTTCAAATTAATTATCTTAAATCAAATCACAACTTCTTGGGTGTCCCAATACTCCCTACTCCACTTATAATTTTTCACATGAGTCACCATTTCTAGTTACCATATTAGTTACCCTGAATTAACCATATCTTATAGTTACCATATCTTATAGTTACCATATTATATTAGTTACCTTACCATATTAGTTACCATATTAGTTAACTAACCATATCTTTGAGGTATCGCTTTCCAGTTGCGCTAAAATCTCCCAATTGCCGACGAGAAGCGACCACCTTGGAGCCCAAGGCGTCCAAACCGCCGAAGTCTCGATCCATCACCTTTCGCGACCCGGGTCGTCGCGGATCCGAGTTTTCCATGGGAAAACCTATGGTTTATGGTAGATATAACATGATATAACTACACTATTCATGGGGTTTATAGATGTTTATAGGTTTATAAAGCAACAAACATCATTGGGGGGCACCATCCTAAACATTTCATGGGGATTTCATAGAGATTTCAGGTAAACATTGGTGAAACTTCAGTACTAGATCTTGTATCCCATCATTCTCCATCCATTTCCCATAGGATCCATGTATGGTATATATATATACTATATACTGACATTGGGGGTATATTGATGGGATCCATGTTACCATAGAAAAAGCAGCACCGTTAGGATCCGTCATGGCTTTTTGTTGGTCCAATGATTTTCGAGCCAACTTGGTGAAACTTTTGGGGTCCAAATCCCATCACCACCCACTGGACCTAGCAGCCTCTGAGGCGATGTATTTTTGGGAGAAATGCCACCCATAAAGCCTCCAGCTTTGGAATTCGATACCCTCTGGTAAACTAACATAGCTATTGAAAATGACCATTTATAGTGGATTTTCCCATTAAACATGGTGATTTTCCATAGCTATGTTAATTTACCAGAGGGTATCCCAATTCTTGATGGACAAATCACCATCATTCCTGGCGAAACTCTCCAAATCGCTCAAGAAATGACTGGTTTTTGGTTGGTCAAATCCCAAATCTCGGTTGCTGCTGAAATCACCAAATCCTCCCATGTTTGCGTAAAACCCCCCATGTTTCCCGCTTCAATCCTCATTTTCCATGGGTTTTTCCATAGTTTTTCCATGGTTTTTCCCCCCCTCTGTGGCACCCCCCGTGGCGCGCCTCGATCTGCTGCTGCGCCGTGTTGGGCAGCGAGTTCTCCGTCAGCAACTCGTCGATGGTGCCGTGGAAGCCTTCCGCCGAGGCGCCGTTGTCGCCCAGGATGTAGACCACCAAGGTGTTGTTGAACAAACCTGGAGACTACGGCGACCGGATACTACGGCGATAAAGGCAAGGTGAGGGAGGCTGCATATTAATGATATATATATATATATATATGTTAGTTTTATAAATTTATACAGTTATATAGTTGTATAATCATATATAGTTATATATATATATATATACGTATATGAGTTCTATAGTTATACGTACAGTTATATCGCTACATCCTAGATGGGATCCTGGCCCATGTCCGTGGTACCCTCTGGTGATTTCGCCACAAAGGACGCTTTACTCACCAAATATGGTGGGTTTAATGGGATTGATATGGATTGATACCCTCTGGTTATGTCAAAATAGCGAAAATGACCCAGTCGAAATAGTGGATTTACCCATTGATAGCATGGTGATTGTCCAGTTCGTTATGTAAACGTTTGCCAGAGGGTATATTGAACCTTGATTGACAGCAACTCACAAAATGCGAGGTTTTCGGTGAAACAGGGCCTTCAACTTTGATCATAATTATCTACAAGGTGGTGCCCCCAAGATAGCTAAGTTGGTTTATAACTCCAATAACTATGGTTTATGGTACTTATAACTATAGTTAATGGGGTTTATAAACCAACTTATAACTGGGGGGCCCCACCTTCTAGCGAAATATGATGCTTGAAAAAAATCCATGGTGCTGGATCTTCAGGTATCTTCTATGTCTCCAACAAAAACAGGTCCTTGGCAAAACAACGAAGACGGTCCCCAGCGACAACATTTCGGGTTCGAAAAACTGCTGGGCCTTGTCGTTCTAACTCCTCGATGACTTTGCCGTCCTGGGTGTCGGTATGTTCCAGGTATCCCGCATAGACCTGCACATGATGCTGATTTGATGGGATACCCAACAAGAATGGTTGACGACCTAATGGGTTTTTAATAACAAACAAATGGTCATTGCTTGTATTTAACCAACAAAGTTATATTGATTTAATGATATATATATATAGTTGTTTGCGAAGAAAGTTCAAGCTGTATTAGCGGATTGTTGGCTCATTACCTAAATATTTGGAGAGATTTCCTCTACCTGGAAAAAAAAATGATTTACCTACCAAGTGTCTGTTCAAAGGAAACCATGGATATTTGCGAGCAAAATACATTCCTGCTTCCAGCATTGGAAAACTAACCACCAGTTACTTTGTGTTGCTCAACAAAAAGTCGGACGCATGTTTTGTTTCTGCATATCGTGCTCCGGGTCAACGACTGATACTGAAAAACTGGTACAACTGAAGCTGGTTGCGGAGAAATAAAAACGTACTGAGAATCTGTCGGTATGTGCATGTGTATACAATACAGATCTATGTCATCTGTGCATATATATATATATATATATCATCTGTATATATATACATATGTACACATCTTATGACGGAGAACTTGAAACCACGAGGTTAGCATCCTTAAAAACGCATCATCAACAAAACTGTTCTAACTCTTTGCCTTCAAAGATACATCACCAGTTTGTATTTGTCTTTAAACAGCATACCCCCGTTGAACCTTATTGATTTATCATTACTTCCCCATGCAACACTAGCCATTTAGGGGTACCTCCTTTTTCAAACCCAAATATTATAGTGTTGGTTGTATATCCCATCAAAGTCCAATCAATTCCCATCAAATCACAAATATCATGAAATCAAGATAACTTTGTTGGTTAAATACCAACAATCACCATGTGTTTGCTATTAAAAACCCGTTAAGTCAACCATTCTTGTGGGTCAGAACCGAATTCACCATTCCTTTGTTGGTGAGTTCTACCTCCATCTCCACCTTAAAATGCAGCCATCCGCACCACGCGTGCAACGCACAAAGCACCTCCATCAAACGAAGTTGGAAGGCCTTTTCGTTCTCGGGAATCTCCTCCCACTTCTGCATGAACTCTTCTGAGCAGGGCAGTTGAGAATCATAGAATCACTAAATGAAATGTGGCATATCCATTAATAGTGATTAATAAATGTTCATAATGGCATATCCATTTAATTAATGTTAATAATTAAACATCACTATATATAAATTATCCATCAACTATTAATAAATGTTAATAATCACCATTCTCCCATTATCAACAAATGGTTGAACCTTCTAATTATCCACCAACAGGAAATTTGAACACTGCTCTGAACACGGCGCCGACCATGGGTGTTTTTCTCGCTGGACCATGTCAGTATTGCGTTCATAAAAATACATGGTGATGGATGCTCTAGACAGATAAGATTCGCGAAAAGCGAACAAAACTCAGATAGATTTACCCTCTGGTAAACGTTTACATAACTAACTGGAAATTCACCATGCTATCAATGGGTAAATCCACTATTTCTATGGGCCATGTTCAATAGCTATTTTGACATAACCAGTAAGCAGAAAAGGTCGACGCCATCGAATTTAGGACCCCAAAACCCGAGTCTAAAACCCTGGGCATGTCCCAAGCAGATCTATTCTCCAATCATGGGAATCGATGATAAGGTGCCCGCAAAAAAAACAAAAAACTACAGTGTTGGATTGAAAAAGGTGTATGTGAATTGCTCTTCTGTTCCAAGAGTCCTAGTTCATTGTCTAAAAAAAAGGTGAGTAAATATTGCTAATGCATCCGGAAACTAGGAGTGTTTTTTTCAACTGTCAATGGTGCCATGAAGATAAAGGCATGTGGCAAACATCTCAACCCTAACAATGTTGAACCCAAACCCATTCAGATTAGATTTCTTGGTTTCCAAAAAGGTTAACGTGCCCAAATACATGGAAAATACAATTACCCTCTGGTAATTTAACAGTTTGCTGTTGAAAATGGCCCATAGAAATAGTGGATTTATCCATTGATTAGCATGGTGATGTTCCATATAGTTTTTTTGTAAACGTTTACCAGAGGGTAAATCCCATTAAATCCCAGTAAATCACCATTTTTCTTGGTGAAAATCACCATTTTTAGTAGGTAAACCATCTATTTCAATGGGCCATCAAGGCTTCCATGGCTACATCGTATCGTCCAAAATCCTTTGGATTTGCCAGAATCCATAGAGGGCGTGCGCCCAAACTCAGTGATCTCTCAATATCCCAAACAAATGTCAGGAAAAACACAATCTTTCTCCGGAATTTCGGGATATATATATATACCAAACTATATATATAGAGAGAGAGAGAGAGTGTGTATTATATCATGTATATGTATATATGTATATTATCATTTATATATATATATATATATTATATACTATTTTTTCGGGATATATATATATATATGTATATATATGTATATATGTATATATATATGATATATCATATTTAATATTTATCAAACAACAAGAAACAAATCTGGCTCCCAGCGGCCGATAGGCGGCAGTTCCGTGCTTGTTGGGATCCAACCCATGGCCTCGTTGGGCAAAAATGGCTTTCGCCAAAGGGAAACGGCCGATTTTCTTGCACCATCCTGTAGGAAAATGGTGATTTAATGATGATTTTATGGTGATTTATTGGTGATTTTATGGAATTTAATGGTGATTTTATGGTGATTTAATGGGATTGAATGGGATTGAATGGGATTGAATGGCAAAAATCGTGATTTTCCATGAGATTTCATTGGATTTAATAGTATATGAGATTGAAATGAGCTTATCTGGGAACTTTCGGAAAGGTTCCCATGGTTTGGTTGGTTTATAACTACATCAACTAGGTGTCATGGTGGGGTTTATAAACCAACTTCTAACTGGAAGGGCACTACATTTATCATCGGGGGTTCAAAGCCATGTTTAATGGGGAGACCAATGGTTTGGGGGTCCCCTTTTTAAAGAGACACACAATTTGTTAAGAATGATGCAATACTTTCCAACAGTAAAGATGTACTTACTTCTTGATTAAGACATATATAGTTGATGGTTCTCAACCGTACCTGCCAACAATAAGAACAATGCCACCATATCGTAAGGATAATAAGTAACAATAAGTATACTATCAAATGTGTCCATATCTTTGGAACAGGCGTCAATGGTTTTTGGCCTTTCCTTGAACGCGGTCAGATGTCATGAAACTAAGCACAATTATGATTTGCTACCGATTTACCAAACGGCTTGTAGTTGACTATCCATTGAGAGTTCCCCCCACGAACCGCGGCTTTGGTAAATTCGTTACCCATATTGACAAACACCCCCGTCATGGTAGTAACAACAATAACAATAGCAATCAAAAATGCGATAAAATAGTGATGATGAATTCAAGATGTATGACAAAGACAATTAGTGTAACAACAATGATGACAATAGACATATAAAATGATGATCATTAATATGTTATGCCCAAATGAGCCATTCTGATGATGGACGATCGTAACTATGATGAACATATATTTTTTTAACCCCCAGTCATAGATAGAACAATTGGAAACCTGGAAATACCTGGAAATTATGCACTAAAATGAACTAAATCTCATCTATAGCATCCTGGATTTCCGTCCCTTTGAGGATTCCTGGAATATGTCATGATGGCCATTTCACACCCCACATCCCACGGGCCACGGTGCCTTCTGTTTCTGGTAGGTGATGTTGCGGAGCTTCTCCCAACCTCGGGGCACTGGTGAGATGTGGGGAGAATGTGGGACCAAACGTTATAAATTGGTCGTTTTAAACCCTATGAATACTATAGTAATAAGATGTAATAAGTATCATAAACCATAGTTAGTGGAGTTACAAACCAACTTAGCTATCTAGGGAGTCCCACTTTGTATGGTGAAGTAATGGGGTTACAATGCGATAACTCATAAAGGTGGAGTCTGAAACGTGTGAAACATGTGAAACAAACATGTGAAACTTGACCACCAATGCCACGGACCATAGCTCCCACAATGTATTTGGAGTTTGTCTGAAAATTAGATACCCTCTGGTAAACAAACATACCTATTGAAAAGCACATTTTCAATAGGTAAATCCACTATTGCTATGGCCATGTTCAATGTCGCAAACTGTTTGTTTACCAGCGGGTATACCAACAGTTATCTGCAAAAGGATGAAGGCCTGGATTCCCCATGTGGCATCGAACACCAGGCATTGATCGCCAAATCACCAGTTCTTCTGGGACGCAGGGATGGATAACCAGACTCAGCCAGAAATGAGTGGCCGGCTTCACCCAAAAACATGGGATTAAAGAAGAAGCAAAGCCCAACAAAAGTGAAAATTGATGAATATGTCTTGGGTAAATCGTTTTTTTCAATCTTCTCAACAACATTGGAAATAGAATGACCAACAATCATCGGAACCTTTGCAACAAAAATAAGGTGTTCAACAGCCAGTTTTTTTGTTTGGAATGCCGAAAACAATTTTTCAAATCACGATCGTAAGCAATGATGGGCAACAACCTCCCACAACTACCAACCTTAAGCACCACACGAAGCTTGCCAAGGGACCCATGTCGAATTTGCCTTTGTACTTGTCGGCCCATTCCCTTAGATGGTGCTGGATATCTCATTTACTCATTGTTAAGTTCCCACCAGGGAAGGATGTATTACCCTCTCGTAAACGTTTACATAACGAACTGGAAAATCATCATGCTATTAATGGCTAAATCAACATCATTTCTATGGCCATTTTCAATGTCGCAAACTGTAAAATTACCGGAGGCTACCGTTCCCTGGGATTTTTGTCGTTCTCTCTTGGACCATACGTTGCTTTTCTTCGGAAGCCTTCCCAGTTCGCGCAGACCCCGCAACGTGGAGACCGTGGAGACCCCCTACAGCTTGCCTATCACGGGAAATGTCCTGTGATGAACACAAAAGAGAAACTCAAACATCACTCACATCGCATCGTCATCACATGACATCACCATTAACATCAACCCCGGATGAATATATTAATAAACCATGGTTTATTGGGCTACTCCCCCAGTGATCACCTCATACTTCAGTACTTTCCCAATGAAGCCGTTTGGGGTTTAGGCATCCAGGGGTTGACCTTCCACCGGTGCCCTTTTTGCGTGGCCCAGGCGTCTTGTGCACGTGGTGGGGCCCATGAGTTCCGCCCGGCGCGAAATAGATGAAGAAGGGACGGTCCGGAGTCAACGCGCGGTTGCTGCGGATGAAATTGATGGCCTGGCCATGAAACCCATTTTAAATCACCATTTTAAATGGGAAAGTCCACTGTAACGAACTGGAAAATCACCATTTTTTATGGGAAACTCCACTATTTCTATGGCCATGTTCAATAGCAAACTGTTAGTTTACCAGAGGGTAAGGCCCCAAACAACAGGAGGGAACTGAGCCATGCGAAAATCAGAGGTGCCAATGCTTGGGATGAAAAAATAGGTGGATGTAACTGATATAACATTGAAGAGACACAAGTCAAGGGACCCAAACTCACAGATCTTGGCCCCCATCCGATTTGAGGGTACTTGATTTTCACACAACCACCAGAATGCCAAAGAATGATGGTTGACAATCACATTCCCATCGTCGCTCATTTTCCTGATCCCTAGTATGAAACCAGGGAAGTAGAACCCGTAGAACCCCATGTCAATATCAAGAACTGGGGTTTGGAGCACTGCTCAAGCTATCTCATATGTCGCATATGTCACACGTATTTCACCACCCGATTTTCAGGGGGCTTCAGGTCCACAAATGTTCAACCGCCTCCCAGGGCCAGACACAGAACAGCTCAGTTGGGAAACTGACCCCGGAGTGAAAAAATGGGAGAAGAAAAAAGATCTTCCCATGGGGAAATTGACGTCCATTCTACAGCTATGAGACCAGAACCCAGGTGTTTGGAAAGTTAGAAAGTTGAAGTCGAGCCGCGTCGAGCCAATCATTTCTGGTGTGGACCCAAGTTTCAACCGGTAGTCACGGAAGTCCTCATGTCTGCTGTCTGTTGTCTCCCATGCCCCTCCCACACAGCCTGATCGGCCATATCTTCTGTGAGGTGGTAACCCTCCTGTCGTAAGAATGTCACTTCGAGAAGCTCTACTTATATAGATGGGCCATGGAGTTAGTGAAAACTAGTAAATGGATTATTTCATTGGGATTGTTTTGGGGTAACAAATCCCCAGTTACTAACCATGAATCGCTAATCCCATGGCCCATCTAAGGTTCTCAAGTTAGGACCATCAGGACGGGTTGACCAAAAATGATGAATCGTCGATCAAACACACACAAGAAATCACAAGAAGCTCTCAACGTGTTCGGAAAAGAAAAAGCTGGAACTGGAAGTCCTTGTGACAAAATCAAGGCTGCAAAACCTCCCAGAAGTCCCAAAAAAATCCATCATTTCTGTTGGTTCGTCCTCATATGTCCTCATTAAATCATGATTTTCCTTGTGAAATCCCACGAAATCCCATGAAAATCCGACCAAATTCCCAACTTCCCCCATCTTTGTAGCTCAACCATTCGTTGCCGCTCCTCGGGCGTCCTGGGCGGCTCGATGGGGTTGGTGTTCTCGAACAGCCGCGGCTCGTACTGGGAGGTCTCGCCCGCGATGAAGCCATAGAAGTAGCGGAAACCCAAATCTTGAGGTGTCAGAAAATCGTGGTGATTTAACCATGAAAAATGGTGATTTCACCAACAAAACATGGTGATTTAACAGACATGTCACCAAGAAATGGAGGTTTTTTTTTTGTGGCGAATATGTGGGTAAAACAATGCCATGAAGCCATGACTGGGAATGGTTTCAACATACCACCTATGGTGACTGGGGAGCTATTTCTATATGGAGGTTTCACAAAGTCATGGGGGGGTACCCGAAAAAAATCATCCAGCTATGGGATTCTCCGGATTTTCCATGAAAGAGTCACCATCCAGCGATTTTTCTGGGTACCTCCATGACTATGGAAACCAGATGAAATCAGCTGAAATGTGTGGGAAATAGGTCGCAACAAACAATGGGGATTTATGGTCAATAAATTCGATTTGAGTTACTAGTGGGATAGATGTAGAACCCAACTTTGCGCTATTTTTTGAAGCTTCAACTGGTGGCGGTCTTCTCAACAAAACTTTATAATCATATTGATATGCAAAAAAGAAAAACATGGCGAATGAAACTGGTCAGGTTACGTTGGAAACCTTGGTTCAACGGATGTTCCTCTCCATCAGTTGCTGGTTCCGGTAATGGCACGGCATGGTTCTCCAACCATGCCAGAAACGGTGGAATGCTTGGATTTCATCACTCTTTCCGAGCAAAAAAGAACCAGTTCATGAGGGTTAATAATGGTGAATAGTGGTTGATCAATGGTTAATCAGTGGTTAATAATGGTGAATAGTCTAAATAGTGGTTAATCAATCCTGGTGTACTCGACAACGTGACAGAATCTGTGGCTTTTTTAACCCATCAACCAAACAATGACTCTCGTGTTATGCGGTACTTCAACCCTCCAACCTTTCTTGGGACAAAAAGTCACGCAGAAAAACAGATTTCCCCATTGATTAAGGCCATCAATCAATGGATTGGTGTAAGGGAAAATTTTCAGGAAAGCCCCAGATTTAATGGGAAAATCTATGATTTCCTGCAGATTTTCCCTTAAACCAATCCATTGAATCAAAAAACAACAAAGCATTCCGTCATCGACCAAGGGACCTGTGGGATATTGATCAAAAGGCCCCGATTTAAAGAGGTTGTCGATGGGCGTGTTGTGCCACTTCCCAAAGGCTGCAGTGTCGTAGCCATACTCTGACAAGACCTGACCGAAGGTGGAGTGAATCCTGTGTTGAGAGTTGACATCAAAGTGGAAATGGAGAGCCATCCATTTCAATTCATGTCCCTATGTTTGGATGTCGTATCTCTAAAGTTAGCTATATAATAATCGTTCTGCTTCATAATCATAGTGACATGCCAGGTACAAAAGGATCAAGTAGCCGTTGTTTAACATCCGGGACTTTGTCCTCTCGATTATCTCCGGCTAAGTTTCAAACATGTTCAACGGGGAAACCAAATGAAACAATACAAAAGGAACAGCATGTTTGTATTTTCCCGAATTACCAATTCCCAAATTAGAAAATCCATCAAATGGGAGGGTTTCCCTTCCAATCCATCATTTACAGAGAGATCGTCCCTATGGAGATTGGCAAAAAAACCTTTAGAATTGGCTGTTCATAATCTCAGCCACTCTGTCTTCTGGTCTCGGACGAACTTCCCAAGTAGCCTGATGAGGATTTGGAGGATCATCCCACGGCTCGTAGTTAATAACCCTGAATATCTAAGTTTTCAATTCGTTTCTTCTCCCATATATTTAAAAAAAAAAACTTATGGTTCTTCACCATGATTGACCACTTAATGTCAACCCCGGATTCATAAACCATCGTTTACTAGAGGGTGCTTCCCAGTCATTTCATCATTTTCATCTACTTTTAAAAATGATACCCAATTCAACAGCCTAATTTGGGGAATAAATCAGTGGCATTCAGTGTTTAGATGTGCCATGGAGTTAGTGAAAACTAGTTAGTAAATGGATTATTGGGATTTTTTGGGGGGTAACAAACCCCCTGTTACTAACCATAAATCGCGTCAGCTTCCCATGGCCCATCGTGGGCGAATCCTCCCGTCGTGGCGTCCCCATCCGCCACGGCGTGCCACGGCCTTCGCCATGGTGGCGGCGGACTTGGGGATGGTCCCCGTGTAGCCCGGGAAGCCGCTCGCCGCCTCGGTGATCTGCCCCGCGCCCACGTGGTGCGAGTTGCGGCCCGTCATCCTTGGACGGATGGCGACGGGGTGGGGAAAAATCCCATGGGGCTTTACCCAAAATGTGGGGAAAGTGATGGGGGAGACATGTCTCATTCTGAGATTTTTTTTTTAGAAGATTTACCACTTATCACTCACATTTGGTGAAAAATGGGGGCGGCCACTCCTAGTTTCCATCAAATATCCAGTGGCCAAAAAAATTGCATCTTACGGTGAGGCATCTTTTCCGAGAACATGCTGAGTTCCACGGGGTTTTGCGAAATAGCTTTGTGAAACGATCCAAAAATGTAGGGTTCATGAACAAAAGCACCATACCAATGATTGAAATGTAGTTCCATAGGGTTCCATAGGGTTCCATAGGGTTTTGGAAAATCTGGATCATCCAAAAATACAACAAAAGCAGGAAAATAGATCTAGAATGATCATAGCTCCGAGGCTCAAGGACGCCCTGGTGGGGGAGCAGATGGCCGTGGTGTGGAAACGGTTGTAGGTCACCTTGGACGCCAGTGGCTGCCAGGAAGAGAAACAAAAATCCTCCAGAAATGGTGGGAACAACATTTTAACATATTTTAACTATATTTTTCTTGGGAAGGAGGCTCTGCTTTTCCTTCGATTTCGATGGAAAGAAATATAGGGTTCCTTGGGGGGGTAACTAGGATTTGATCAAAACATCCAAAACGAAAAATGTGGAGCAAAATACTCTGCTCCAAACAATATGGTTGAGTAATGAAAATGAACAGTTTGACCAAAATTCTGACCCAGCCTGGGGTATGGATCAAGACCCTTATGCTCCGCTAATGTTTTGCCATCCAAAGAAGGTCCGTATTGTCAAATGCTGAGTTCCAAGAACCTATAGTGGTTGTTATATCTTGCAATGTTTTTAACCAGTGACCATTATTATTGGATTATTTCACCGGTTTTGCCACTTCGGACCCAAAGTTTTCTGACCATTCTTGTCTGTTAAACACGTAAACAAACATGAAAGCAAAAAGTAGATAAATCAACAAATCAATAATAAATGAATACAATAAGTAAATGAATGCATATCATTATCAATGTATATGATTATACATATATATATATATATATATGACATACATACACACGTTGGTGGGAGCCTCGCAAAACCCCAGTGACACCATGCGAGGCAATCTTCGACAGCGTGGGTGTGTGGATGGGACCACCGAAGGTGTCAGGAGCACCGTAACCCACGTCGTCGTTCATGATCACCACGATGTTGGGAGTATCCTGCGACGGGGTGACTTGGGATGATGGGAACCGAAGAGCTGAATGGATCAAAGTTGTGAGAACTGCTTGTCGCTTTGTTGAGAAATCGTGGATTTTGTTATGGGTTTCAACTTAAACTAACATACCCCAAAAAAAGTTAGATATTGGTTAGATATAGTTAGATATGGGTTTTTTTGAAGTGGGTTTGGGTTCCCACTTAACAAAGATGTTGGGAATGGATGTTGGGGGTATCTTGATGAGACGATTCCGAGACAGTGAGGATGGTAGGTAAACCTGAACCATGAGATTTCCCACGGATGGTGAGAATCCACAATTTCTAAAAGTGTATAAAGGATGATAGTCATAGTACAACCCCACTTTTTTCATCCACAAAAATCATCCATGAACAGAGGTTCTCAAGATTTCTGAAGCTTCTGAACACTGATTCAGGTGGATTGTATCAATATTTCATAATATTTCCATCTTTATCCTTATTGGATTGGAGGAAAAAATTACAAAATTACAGGCCCTGAAGTCTGTCACTGATGGGATCCCACCATGCTGGTTTCAACCAATCCCGTGGGATCCGGAATCGAAGGAAAGACGTGGCTGGGGAAACACGTGTCTGTTGGGGAAATGACAAGTGGCTAGCCATATCAAACGAATAATGATGATACAGAACACATTGTAAGAAGGATGGATCAAATATACTAAGAAGAATAGTAGCAGTAGCAAGATAATAATACCAGGAATAACAATAACAATGAAATATCGACACACAAAATAGCCAATGTAACGTAATATGCACCCAGAATGATGCTAGGACTTGGTCACTGATCAGGAACCAGCTTCTGACGGAAGAGGAAGACTCGGATGTCGGGTCAGCGATCCATTCACCAGAAACTAGTGTACCTACTACTGAATACTTCCCTAGGAACCCGAAATTATTGTTGGATGTGTTTTTTGCGGGGCCCCACAACTAGCGGGAATCTAATTTTTTTGGATGGGTTTCAGTCTACAGCAGGAAACTACAGGTCGTTGGTTTTACTCAAAAAGTGGTGCCCCACAAAAAGGAAAGTTGGCATTTGACTCTCAACTAATGTAACTAGGGTTCGTGGTGGAGATTGATCTGCACTTGTCGAGTGAACATAAGTGGGAGGTCCTCTTTGCACCATGAAAATTGGAGTAAATGTCAATCAACGGGTATTCACTGGTATTCATCTAACCAAATTTGACTTGGATTGATGGCTAGGGTAAATCCCATTAAATCCCATTGAATCACCATTTTCCATAGGTAAATCCCATAAAAATCCCCTTAAATCACAATTTTTCATAAGTAAATCCCATATAAATCCCATTAAATCATAAGGATCCATGTTTTGTGGAGGGCATCATTTATAGCCCGTCGTATCTGTTCCGCCTTTCCCTGGCTCTCCACGTCCTTTCGCAAGGGCTGCCGCTTGGGGGGCCAGCGATTCACCGAATCCGCCAGGGTGGGGCCGACGATGGCATCCTGGGACGATCATGGCTACGAAAGCCACCAGAATCATCCCATCACGGTGAGTTTATCACCCCATAAATTATTATCCCAGTTATGTGGAAATTCCCTACTAAACCATGGTTTCTAAGGGGCTGTTGAATATTCCGGGGAAGGGATGAGTTAAAGACGATACCAAAAATAACCTTCAAAGGAAGCCGACACCTAGAAATAGGTGCAGTAGATGCAGTAAAACCAATCCAGATCAAAAGTTTCATCGAAACAATGTACTGATTACCTGCTTACCCTCCGGGAATCAAACATGGCAACAGGAAATTCCCTACTAGAAATGGACATGTCAGTGGGAAAATCATCGAACTAAATGGGGGAGTCTCCATTTCCTACCTAAAACTCCGTCCAACCAACATCATCATTGGCTATAAACCCAATAATAATAGTAATAATAGTAATAATAATAGTAATAATAATAATAATACTAATAATATATATCCCATTTTAGTTGCTTCAGAATCCCCATATTTGGGGTATCCAACCCATATTGGTACCCAGCCACCGATGGCATGGGTGGAAACGGCAAATCCGGCGGTGTCAGCTCTCCATTCGCCACGCTGGGATCGCTCCGCTCCGCCGCAGCCAGCAGCGGCAGCAGCAGCAACGACAACGGCATGGCGCCGAACGAGGCGACGGACGCGGTGGAGACGAGCTGACACCCTGCAGAGAGAACGAGGTGGGTTGGATCTGTGGGATCCAATAGTAAGTTAGTCCCAAAAGGTGAGAAATCTCATGAAATCTGCCAGAATCCATGACATTTCTGGATCCAGCGGGACAGCCGGCAAAGTGGATGTGGGGGGTGACTGCTCCTTGGATCCTGTTCTTGTTGGGGTGGCTACGGCTTTGGTGGTTCACAAAATGGTTCCCCTGGGCAAATTTGTTGAATCCACTTCAAGTGCACAACAAGCTTGAAGGACAGCTAGCTCACACATGGCAAGCAAAGTGAAGGCCAAGCCTCGTGAAGGCGGCAGCACAGGCTGAAGAAGTGCAAGGCTGACCCACCTCCAAAATCAAAGTAGCACGTGTGCGGGAGGAATATCTCATCTAGGCAGTGACAAGAGAAACATAATGGGAACTCCATGTCCGGAATTTGCTGTAAACCCCTCTCAGTTCCAGTTTTCTTCTAATTGTAGCTCAGCATTGTTTTTTGTGCCCTGAGCATCTGTAGTTGTCAGCCGCTAGCTTTTAAATAGTTGAAGAGACTCTACTTCAACGGCTGTCCAATCATGCCTAAACAAGGAAGCTCCAACTCACGGCTGGAGCCAGGACCGAATCCCACGGAGACTGAAGCTCACATTCACCTCCGAGGCTGTGTCCTACTTTGATGCCTTCGGCGGGGACTTTTGTTCGCAGATCGTGCCGATGACCGCGATGACCACAAGAAAAATGACCGTGGCGCCAACGCTTGCAGCCACAAAGTTGGCACAGTTGGCACAGTCCTGCTTGAGTTGCCGCAGTGAAATGTCTGTGTTCTCACGCATGGCTTTCTCAAGAAGTTGGGACAGGAGATCGAAGGTTGCCTCGTTGATGCGAAGACTTCCACAACTCTTGCGCTTGTAGTTGGTGATCGCATAGACATGATCTGTCATTGCGCATCTCTTGATGCCTTCTATGGCACTCTCAAGTTCTTGTTTTGGGTTCTCTTTCTGACATTCTTTCAAGAATTCATCACGGAAGGTCACAGCCACAACGTAGGGAAACTCGACGGTACCACCGGAGGCAGTCTTGAAGGCCCCTGCCATCTTTTGGAGATATCCTTGCACCTCTGTCTTCTGATCACGCCAGTGGCACAATGACACCACGACAATCGCTCCATGCGGTGGCTTGCCGAAGGAACTCTGCTTCTCTGGTGCAAGGTCCTGTCTGCGCGCACCGTCCTTGACTCCAGTGGACAACAAGGTCTTCAGTTTGCCTGGCATCTCGTCGTTCATGTTGGGGAATGCTGGCGTATCCACCAGCACCATGTGTGAGGAACCAACTCGAATTCTGGTACTCTTCAGGGCCACAGTCTTCTCTTCTTCACCCGCCGGTGCTTGGTCCATGTGGTCATTCAACGTCAAATCACCACGCAAGCAGCGAATCAAGTGGTTGATGTGAGAAGATTTCCCATGGTGCTGAGCTGCCACAACAACAATGTGTGGATCACCCTTTGCCGCTAGAAAGCGAGCAAAATCTTTCTGTTGAAAATCAGCAAGGCGTTGTTTCAAATCTTTGGCCGTTTCCTCAGCGGAGAGTTCATCATCCCAAGTGACCTGCTTCTCCGCTGCTTCACTCAACAGCCCGTCTTCTGACACTGCCTTCACGAAGACCTTCACAACCCAGGCTTGGTCCCGTGGCACTTGCTCAGGATGAGGCACGAAGGCTGCACACCTCTCCACTTGAATGATGCCGCTGGAATGAAATGGGTCAAGCATAGGACCTTCAAATTCGAAGTAACACACCTCCACCTGAAAGCGGCCATGAGCGCCGTCCGCTTGCCAACGGGTGTGAAGGCTCTTGTCAGGCTGCGCTTTCACTTCGAGGTCCACGGGCTTTGCCGGGGCCTTCGACAGAACTGCGGGAAGTACGGCCATGGTGACAGGCCTACCAAGCCGGCAAAATCGAACAAAGCAAGGAGATTCGCACTGAGCCGGAAGTGTCTTCAGAGTTCGGGCTTTTGCTTTTTGAGAGCAAGTGGATACGGATTTTCCTCAACAACGTGAAACATGCATCATCCCTTTTTGGTGCAAGCACATTTTGTGAAATGAACTCTTCCGGGAATACAAAAAAGTCTTGGCCACCGCATACCTTCGAAAGAAGGCTGGCGTTATTGACAAAACTAGATACACCAGATGACAAGCACCTTCCCTGAAACAAAGGCAAAAGCAATGGGCAATGCATGTGAAAGCAATGATGCAGCCGCCATGGTCCTTTTCGTCGGCTGCTAGCTGGTCGCAAAGAAGCTGAACTGTACAGAAACCTGTGTAGGCCCAAACATCACAAGCTGGTCAAAGGCTATGGGCTTCCATTTCAAGCCATTGGAGTGCTACATCTCGGTGCCATCACTGGTGGAGTCAGTGTCTTAAGTGCGTCAATTGATCGATATCGAACGAGGCAACAAGCGGCAGTGACAGAGAGGAGGCAACTTCGGAGGCAACAGTACTACAAATGCCTTGGAGCCACTCCCACCACTGCAGACTCTGGCCATCGCGAAGATGCACAACCTCCGCTTCAAGCAACTGGATGCGATTGCGGAGATCTCTCGTCTCGTTCTGGAGCCCTTGGAGCTGGGAACTCAGGGAGGACAGCTTGCGCATGAGCTGGCGCACGCCAAAACCAACAACCAAAAGCAGGACAAATCCTCCAACTGGTTTCCAAAGCCATCCACCTCTTGGCTCTTGATGAACATCTTGGCACTGCAAGGATTGCTTGTGTTGTGCGCGGCAAATCAAGCTTTGAATCTGCTCTTGTTCAGGATCTTGTTCCGGATCGAAGTCGGTCCAAAGGTCCACTTTGCCCGACTCCGGGAGAAAGTCACCGAAGACACTCTGCAAGTCAGACTGATGCTGTTGCCATCCATCTCGAGCTGAATTGGTAGTCGGACACACAATGAAGTTCACTCTGATCTCTGGAAATTTCTTCAAAATGGTGCAAAGTTCCACGTTTCTGGGGTAATGTTCCGGGTCAAACCACAAGTAGCTGGAGGCCGCTGTGGCAAGAAGAAGGACCGTTGCTTCAGATGCTGACAAGACTTGTGCTTCCAGCGCATCCGTGTCCAGCCCATCCTGCTCCGAGTAGTGGAACAACTTGACCTGCACTTCGGATTGTCCTCTGAAGTTCTGCGCATAGCCAGCCAGAGCTGCTTTGTTCCTTAGCTGTCACCCAGCTTTCTGCCTGTTGAGACTTGGTATCCTGAGCCTTTAACCCCACCACTCAGCCACTGGACTGCCGTCAGAACTTGTTTGAAGTTGCGCTGCAAGCAATATTGAGATCAAGTTGCTATGATAACCATGGTAAAACTGGCCAGGTTCATTGGGGTCTGAATATGTTTCCTACCCGAGTGTGACTCATTGAGTCATGACTCATCTCACTTACATATGGCAAATGAGAAGCCCCAGCATTTAAACAAATCCTTAATAAACAGGCGACGACCTCTCCCGGAATTGGCCAACGCAAAGAGATTGTCATAGGTACAGAAGTTAGCAGGTCCGCCCAGTTGTCAAATGTACAGCTTGAAAATTGTGCAATCCAAGAAACGTGGAGAATATGAGACGCTCCACTTTCTGCATCACAGGACTCAAAAAAACATCAGCCATTTGTGGCATAGATATGCAATAGCCTACTACTGCCGAGCAGAAATTTGACAGCAGGTAGCAGATCTTGCTGTGTCAAATCTCTATCAGCTCCTGAACTTTCACAATCACAAAAAGATCCGTGCACGCAAAGTGTCACACGCTGCAGCCGTCCCTTTATGACTTGTGAGTCGAATGAGAGCTACTGGAAAACCAAGAGCTCTGACATTGACAGACAGATAGCTTGAAACTTCCTTATTTCCGAGTTCCAATGGATCAAGGCAGCTAAACACATCTGAAATGCACAGCTGCGGCGTGCGCTTCCAACAGGGAAGATTCTCGCTATCTCATCCAGACTCACCTCGAAAGGATGCCAAAGCCGACTCGATACCTCCCTCTCTGCCTGGCTGGAAGTCACATTTTGACTGGTAAAGAATCACGAGTTTTTTGGGGGTTAGCGCTGACATATATATATTTTGATCACGTATGCTGAATTTTGCCGGACCCAAGAGTTTCCATGAACTCATGGAGAATTCTGACATAGACAAACGATTGTCCTGATATTCACGTGTCATCATTTAATCTCATCTTTATTCAGAACATGACGCAACCATGGCCAGCACCTGGTGGATCCCTCAAAATGTGCTCACTTGGCAGCTCGCATCATGGAACAAATGTGACAATACTTGAACTGACACTTGGATCATCGGGGACAAGACAAGAAGTGCGCCAAAAGTTTACTTAGATGGGCCATGGGATTAACTAACTGGTTAGTAACTGGTTATATAATATAACCCTCTATATCCCAATGAAATAATCCATTTACTAACTAGTTTTCCCTAACTCCATGGCCCATCTAAGTATGTCCCAGGCCTTGGAGGGGCATTCCCATGGCAGGATCCAAGGGGAGCCATGGCTCCAACGGACGGATCCACAGAAAATGTCATGGAAAAACGTCCACAGTCCACTGTTGATCCAGGGAGAGAAATTGATCGGCCAAATGGGTGTCAAAACAAAGCTTGGATTTTGCCAAACCTCCACAACTTGTGGCAAGTGGACTGTCAGCTGAGCCAAACAGGGGTCAGAGATTTACGTTTGAAGCAGAGACTCATACAAGCACAGTTGTTCAATCATGTTCAATAATCATTCTTCAGGAAATGCTCAATAAATGGGTAAAATCAACGATTCATTGATATATGAAAGGATGATGAATCACTTTCAATGATGATCAGAGAATGTCACGCTGCCTAGCCCAAAAAAACACACAAAGCCCTCAAATTTTTGACGCTCAGCACACTCAGCTCTCCGGAATTTTCGGAAAACCGCGGCGGCGCCACCCCCTTTGTGGTGGCGGGGCATTAACTCGACTGGCAATTTGAGCGCGGTGATCAGCACACGGTGCAGAGATGCACAGGGGCAACTAGCAGGTCGCATGAAATAAGAGTATTTTTTTTTAGTCCACAACAATTGGAAGTAAGAAAATAATGGCAGAATTACTAAGTTCAATCTCAAATGGGGTAGACTGGTGATCTGTGTGGTGCCTTACCTACAGTATACTCAATGGAATCTGTTTGAGTCTCAAGATGGTATCTGATATGCTCCCACAGCTGACCTGCGGTGCTATGTGTGCTTCATTAAGCGCGGGAAAAGCCGTCAGTCTCTGCCAGAATAGATCAGGGTCCGTCCCTTTTCAGGAGTCATTCAGCCACTGCTTGGGCAAAATCTGTGCCAAAAACGCTGTCGAAAAGCTGGGGACCCCAGGTTCTCTCAGCATGATCAGGTCGTTGGTAATTTTTCACATCACCCAACAAAATTGGGAACATAATCCTCAACAGATACCAGTATGGTGATGTTTTCGTAATTAGAATACCCAACAAATGTCGGCATTCTTACCATTCCCTGCTTACCATTCCCTGAAGATTTCAGTCCTTTAAAAGGCGAGCCACTAACTTCAGCCTCCTCCAAAGCCGCGGCGAAACTGCGTCAGGATTTTGGAGTTCTTGGTGGCGATGACTCGGATGTGGATGCGCGGAGGCCTCAGGAAGTAGGAGGGTCCAGTGGTCGGTTTTGATCACCATGAAATGGTTGGTAAATGACCTGGTAAACTAACAGTTGGACATGGGATTTAATGGGATTTGACCAAGAAAAATGGTGATTTACTGGGATTTAATGGGATTTACCCTCTGGTAAACATACAAAAAACGATGGAAAATCACCATGTCTAATGGGAAAATTTCACTATTTCGACTGGGCCATTTTCAATAGCTATGTAACAAATTACCAGAGGGTAATGCCACTAAAAATATCACTATGAAATGGTTTTGTTTATGCCCAACACTGCCATGGTTTTCATGGTTTTTTTACAAACTGTCCATGAAAGATAACCAGATGTTCGTACTTCCTTCCTTTTTCCCACCGTGGAGATGAAGGGAACATGTAAAACCTGGGGTACCAGTTAATTATTTCCTGTACCAAGCGGGACTTGCCTTGACCAACTCAAATTCGGACCATCATCTTCAAGGAGCTACAAGGTGGTGTCCTCAAAACTTTTGCTTGTTGGTTTTGGGACCCCGTTAACGAGTTCGGTTTATCTCTTAACATATTCTATATGAGCTACTGGAGCAACTGTGCACATACTCTGAATGTACGTCCTGCATGGCTACACAAAAGTGTATCCTCCTCCCCACAAAAGATGGACAGTATCCCATAGCTGACCCTCAGATACTCGTTAGGTGATTCCTTCGCATCACTCAAGATGGCCAAGAATCAACCAGCCACCACCATTCACCAAATGAGCCATGGTCAATACTCACTATATGGTTGATGGTCATCCCATCCATAATAAGGATCCTTATAATGGTTATTATAAATCCCTATGAACCATTGGATGACTAGCCCCTATTAATGGTTATTAACCATGATATTGACCATAGCTCAAATGTCAACCAAATACCTCCCCCCAACACAACCCAGGTGTTCTGAAAGGCCTCAGCTGACGACATCTGACACCCCAAACATCCTCGGAATTCACCAAGCGTCTTGTGCACGCGATCGATGGTGACCAAATCAGCACCTTGCTGGAAGGCCTCCTCAATCTTTTCCTCCCCAGGGGTGACAAGCTTCGGGTTGCTATGGGTTGCTATCAGATTATCATTGGTGTGTTATTTTGAGAAAAATGTAGGGGCTGGTGGGGCACCATCACATCTATCCTTGGGACAAGCTTCGGTTCATTTGAGATCCCGCATGGGCGGAGTTTAATGTTGAGTAGTGTCAACCTGGGATCAATAAACCTCGTCGATTACATAACTAGAGGATACCCTGGAAATAGTGATGATGATTTGCTACTAAGATGGTACCCGCAATTACACTAAGTACACTAAAAAATCCAGGGGTCTGTTTGGAGGTTTCCTAAAATGGAGGTGCCCAAATCATCCAATGAACGACCATTTTACTCTTGAAGCAACCATGCTGACGACTGTGGATCCCCCATGACTTAAGAACCTCCCCCATTTCAAAAACATCCGGTCAAAGGATCACTTCCCCGGCACCTTGAAATCATTTCCAGGACAGCTATCCAGGATTTCATCGATGGTGGGATGCGGAAACCTCCGAACTTTCAAGGTCTCCACTCCCTCGGGCGAAGTCACAAAGGTGGCCTGGCAGGGCTGGGCAGCCGAGCAGGAAAAAACACTGTAGAAACCCAAAAAAATGAAAGGTGTGTAGAATTCGATTCTGAAATCAAGTGATAAATTTGTGACTATAGATGAATTCTGGAAGTTTGAAACAAGAACTTCATCAAATCACAACGAAAGACTGTCTTTTGGCCGCAGCTTTTTTTGCATCTTCATTTGCCAACCCCCCCTTCCCGATATTTTCACCTCCATATGCATCACCTTTTGGAAGGCTGTCTTTAACCACCACCAGGTGATTCTTGATGCTCCCAAAATGGGTAAATGTACACCCCTTGTAATCCAATTCTATGTTTGGTGATGACATCCCCATAATATGTCAAAAGTCAAAATCGAAATGGCGGAATCTAGAAAGTCAAAATATACCAACATGTACCACAAAAAACTCAAATATGCACCAAACAAATGTCCCGAAAGTGGTCCCCCCACTTATCATGTCATACAGTAACTGTAGTTATACTTTATATTACTTTATGGATATTTATTACTTTATTACTTTATATTACTTTATATTACTTTATGGATAGTTATACTATATATATATATAATCACCATAAAGCCAAGTTAAACAAACTCGGGCCTCCGCCGTTGCCGCCTTACCTTTTGCCGCTGCCAGTGCTCCAGCGAAGGCTTTGGGCACTGCCGTGCCTTTCGGAAAGACGTTCTCCTGCGCGGTCTCAACTCACCAGTGGCGAACTTTGCGAAGTCTGAAAAATTCGAAACTTACAGTTATGGCCCTTTACCAGTTATAAGTACGTATAACCCCATTTATAGAATGTATAATCCCACTTATAACCAGTTATAACTGATAAATGGCCATAACTGTAGAAACATAAGCACTTGCAACACCGTTTCGGTGAGTCAAGGAAAAATATTTAAAATCAAAATGTGGACACTTGGAAATGATGTTACATGATGTTACCCGTTTTGTCGAATGGGACTCCGAAAACCCATCGGAATTTGACGTTCCAATCCAAAAGATCCCTTTTGAAGAAGATTTGAAAAACCACCCAGTTGCAGATGGCCATCTGGTGGAAGCCCATCTGGTGATGGTTAGTTATATGTATATGTAGCGTGTGTAAATATAAGTATTTCTCTATAACATATGTAAACGTGAATAGATTCATGTCTTTCTCAACACACAATCATGGATCATCTGTCCATATTTCTGGGATGGTGATCGTGTCAGTTCTCATCACCGAAACGTGGCAAAAACATGCGCCATATCTTGCAGTCTCTCCTTGAAATTTCCCGCATTGCCTGCAGGGAAGTAGTTTGCCACGCAGAACCTTGGTAGCAGAGCTGCGTGTTTCGCACATGCGATGCCTCAAGGACTCTAACCTGGCCATGGAAAATCACAGGATTTTCCCAACTCTGCAGGGTGGAACCCACAAACTATTGTACTTATCTCTGTCAAATCACCACAAACCCAACAGTTCGCCTATTTAACTGTTACTAAAGGGGTAATTCCGTGTGATTCTCAACAATGTGACCATGTGACCATTTGACTTCTCATTTTTCGCCCAGGAACTTCTCGTCTTCCGACAACGCCATGGCCACCTGTCTCGTTGCCTTCCACACCACCTGGCTGAACTGCTCCGTGCCCGGCGCAGGCGCGGTTGCGCCAAAGTCGTAGCCGGGCCGTTCGGCTTCGCTCAACCAAGAGCTCACAATGACGTTGGGATGAGGGCAGCTACATGGATTCCTCAAAGCTTCGGAAAAACAAAGGGATGGTCAACTGGTCAACTGGTTCCCATTCCTTGGGTGACTCCTCAGCTACATGTCAGAGGTCTAAACACTTCAAATGTGATTACCGTGTTGACAGTCAGGTAGATTCTTTTTGCTGAACAACACATTTTTTTCAGTCAGGAATTGTGCACTGCTCACAAGAAACAAAACCATACCTTTGGCTGTCCAGCCAGTAGAACCGGGGATCAGACCGAAATTATGAAAACTAAAGTGTGTCTGCCCCCCCCAAAAAAAAAAAGTCCCCCTAAAAAAGGTGCTTATTAAATCCTTCTTGGTTGGAGGTTCGGGTGGCCTTCAACTTCGGGTCCTTCGGGTCACCAAGGCTCCAATAGAGATTCTGCCCATGGCGACCTGATGCTCCGTCACAGTGGCCCCGAAGCATTTGTCCAGCAGCTTGACATGCCTCCACGGTGCTGATTTCAACCCCAAGAAATGTCACTAGAAATCGATTTCCCAAGGGACCACGTTCTTCCCCCAAGGGACAACCTGAGGTCTATTCATTGATCGAGACGCCAGATGCCAGATGTGGAAATGATCACATTCTTGGGGGCTCGACCAATGAACATCTATGGAAAATCACAATTTTTAATGGGAAAACTCACTATTTCGACTGGGCCATTTTCCATAGCTATGTTAGTTTACCGGAGGGTAAGTGATGTCTGGTGGCTCTACCAACCAAAATGAACCACAAGAGGTGGAGATTCAACAAGTAATTCAGCGAGCATTTTACAAAATGGATCCCCGCAAGAACATTTGTGATTTACTCAGCTGCCAGGGGATCCAACCAGGCAAAGTTCAAATTGATCGAACAAAAAAAATTGATTAATGTGGTACCCTCTGGTAATTTAACATAGCTATTGAAAATTGCCATTTATAGTGGATTTTCCCATTAAAAATGGTGATTTTCCATTGTTATGTTAGTTCACCGGAGAGTAAACCCAATCATATACCTACCATTTGGGGATGGTTTATATATAGCACCCATGGTTTATAATGATTTGGGGGATGGTTTATTATTGGATATTCACCCAAAAAGACATGTGGATATGACCAACAAAGACTTGGACCGGAGAAGGAAAACTGGGCAACACATCGAAATCGATCTAGCTATTAGAAACAAAATATCCCACCACAAACCATCTTTAGCCCAGAAAAAAAAACAGGAAAACTGACAAAAACGAGACAAATTAGTTGCTAAACCCCTCCTGCGCTTGCTTCTTGGCTAAGTCGTAGCACTCATCGCCTGGTCAATCCATTGAACTCGGGTCATGGCTTGGTCGATTTGGTTTTACCAGAGCCGTTACAGGGCAGTTGAGGTTACAGTTACTGAAAATGACACAATCGAAATAGTGGATTTTCCCATGAAGAAATGTGATTTTCCAGTTCGTTATGTTAGTTTACCAGAGGGTACTAATTTGATGCTCAAAAAACCACGGGAAAAAAAGAAACTAGACGACGGTTGGCCCGAGAGCGAAAAAAATGTGTTTCAAGCAGCTCTGAGGATGGTAGTCGTAAAAGATAGTCGGTGAATAGTTGGTGAATTTTATATGAGCTATGGAAGGACATGGTGTGAAAAAGTAAGATTGATTAAGAATAGGATACTTGGTAAAGGGCATCAGATGACACGTGTCTTGCAACCACAGAGAGAAAGAGGGAGGAAGGGGAGGGAGAGAGAGAGAGAGAGAGAGAAGGAAAGGGGGGTAGAAAGTAAACATGGAGAAATATAATGTGAGCAACAAAGATGCACAAGAGGCTCGGTACCATGATGCTGCAACGGTGTTATCTCATTTTACTATAGCAATTCCTACACACATTGCCGAAAAAACTCGGCACCATCATTCCGTGGATGTGAAGAAACGCGACGCTTTTATACAGAGACGCTTTTATACAGAAACGCTTTTACACACAGACGCTTTTACACACAGACACTTTTACACACAGACCCTTTCACACAGAGACGCTTTTACACGCACAAAAACTTTTACACGCAGACGCTTTTACAGACGGACACTTTTACACACAGACTCTTTTACACACATATTGTTTTACACACAGACGCTTTTACACATAAAGGCTTTTACACACAGACACTTTTACAGACAGACATTTTTACACACATACCCTACAGACACATTTACACACAGACACATTTACACGCAGAAGCTTTTACACCAAGACGCTTTTCCACACAGAAGCTTTTACTGACAGACTCTTGTACACGCAGACGCTCTTACAGACAAAACCCGTTACACACAGGCGCTTTTACACACAGACTCCTTTACACACAGACTCCTTTACACACAGACCCTTTTACACACAGACACTTTTACACACAGACCATTTACACACAGACACTTTTACACACAGAAGCTTTTAAACACAGAAGCTTTTACACACAGACACCTCTACACACAGACCATTTTACACACAAACGCTTTTACACACAGACACTTTTACGCACAGACGCTTCTGCACACAGACGCTTTTACACACAGACGCTTTTACACACAGACGCCTTTTACACACAGACACTTTCACACACAGACCATTTTACACACAGACACTTTTACACACAGACGCTTTTACACGCAGATGCTTTTGCACACAAAAGCTTTTACACACAGAGGCTTTTAAACACAGAAGCTTTTACACACAGAAGCTTTTACACACAGAGACCGGACCCGTGAAATCGCAATTTTTCCTCAGTTTTTGACGTCCAACGTCCATTTCGTGCGAAAGGGTTGCCCGTGACACCTCAAAATCGCAATTTTATTTCAGTTTTTGACGTCCAACGTCCATTTCGTGCGAAAGGGTTGCAAGGGGACAAGTTAAATCACAATTTTTCCTCAGTTTTGGACGTCCAACGTCCATTTCGTGCGAAAGGGTTGCGTTTCGTGGCGCTGAGGCGGCACCGCCCCCGCCTTAAGAGAGAGATAGAAAGAAGAGTGAGAGGAGATCTGCAGATGTGAAGGTGTGAAGATGTAGATCTGCAGATGTGAGGGTGTGAAGATGTAGATCAGCAGATGTGAGGGTGTGAAGATGTAGATCTGCAGGTGTGAGGGTGTGAAGATGTAGATCAGCAGATGTGAAG